AACAACAAAACAACAACAACAAAACAACAACAACAACACAACAACGCAGTAGGAAAGATGAGAGTAACAATGATAATAATGACAACGATAATAAGATATTGATGGTCATATAATAATGATGGTAATAATAATGATAAAGATAACGCGTGTTAAGGAGAGACTTTTAATTTAAAATATAAATAATTATAGCAACAGTAAACAATAGGTCAATAAATTAGCAATGTCCACTTAACAGTGATAATAATACTAATGATTTATAAATACTTAATACGTAGCAAAACTCATGTCTACCGCATATGTTCACATATTTCATAAAAATTTCAGCCAATAAATAAGCATACTGATTCCATAAATAAATACAAAATTATTTCATGTTCACTTTGATGCATTAACTTTAATCATTAATTAATTACACATGCTAAAAAAACAATACCTGAAATTGAAAAATAATACGCAACGACTCCAGGCATGAACTGAGTCTAAATATTAAAGATGAGATGATAATTTTCACTGATATTAAATGTGCCGGCGTGTCATAGTTACGCATCGAGATTTAATAGGTGCAGCAGAAGTGATGTAGTACAAACGAATTAACAGGTGGGTCATCAGATGAGGGATTGTGTGGATGTGTTGGATGGGTATTGAGGATTCTCGAAGAGAGTGAAAGATTGATGGTAGTTTTGAAACAACGTATTGCTAGAAAAAATGAGAAAATTTTTGCAGAAGTAGCAAAATTGAGCAAAATTTTCATGTTGTTATTTATGTTTTTGTACATTCCAAATGTTGTCTTTTCTCACGTTTTCATATTTTCGAATTTTCACACATTTCCTGACAAAAAGTTGTGAAACACTTTTAATCGTTGTTTAATAGATACAAAATGAATATATATGAAAAGTAATGCTATGAAAAGTAATGCAAAAATTTCCTTGTATCAAAAATTATTGAATTTTAACGTAAGGATATTTCCAGATTAAATGGCAAGTCATTCGACTAGTGCCGTAGTCTCTTTTCTTATTGCCATCATTATAATTGGGATTGGACAAGTTATGAAAGTAAGTATCTTTACTCTGATTTAATTCCTGCCTATAGGCAGTGGTAAGAACTGTTTTCTGTCACTCTAACATGCTGCCATTGTTGTCAAGTTAAATCAAGAGAAGCTGCAGTAAAATGCCTTGTGGCTATTGTGATGTGCTAAGTTATATGTCGTTCATCATCACTTTTCTTTAAAGCTTATTTTTTGTGAGATTCTTGCCACTAATGAGATTAGCGAGGATTCCTCTATTGGAGCTTTTCAGTGATATTTTAATTCGTTTATGTCATCGATTCGACTAATCCTTATTTTTTTTTTTCAGAATGATTTAGCAGCTTCCAAAGTGGGAACATTGGTTGCTGGTGCTTTGGGTTCCTTAGTTTTTGTGTTTTTGCTGACAGCTATATCAAATTTTGAAATGTCTTCAATCGGTGAACAAGTGAAGGCTGGACTTACCGAGGTTTTCTTATGTCTGTTTGTCGCTCTCATTGCTTCTGCGACTATTCATCGAGTGGCTATCACGGTTAGTTAATAGACTTTTTTCTTCTCAAGTTGTAATTCATCTTAAAAGGATCTTGAAACAAAATCTTCGAGCACTGAATTTTATCCGATATCTTGTAGAAAAATGCTCTGGTGAGAAAGGAAGATGTTTAAATTTATTGGTGCAGTATCCTGAGATTGGAAATGACGGGAAATCATCAGAATAGTTTAAGTTGATTAATACTGAATAAAGAATAATGTGAGTGAAAATGACAGATTTTGTATAGTATTTCATTTTGGAGGATGAATTTCGAAATATTGGAAAGTGCTTATCCACAAAACAAACCCGAAATTTATGCACAGTAGTTTGGAATAGAACTCTAACATTCTGATGAATCGACTAACAAGAGAGCGATGAAGTCGTATCAAGTTTTAAATTGTGTTTTTTTGTTATTTCCATATTTGTGTTTTCAGGTGTGCCTGCTATGCTCTGCATTTTTATTGTTTTTATTGACTGGGATCAGCCAAACGAAATATACAACGACAGTTGTACAACAATTTGTGCAACAGCGGAAGAAGAAATAGTAGCAATATGACAGAGCAGTTAATTAATTTAATTAAAAATAATTATTTTTCAACCTTGTTTATATCTCTAAATCCAACATTAGGAAACATAAATCAAATTTCTAGAAATTAAGAGTAGGATTTGATGCTTGATCTTCTAAAAGCCGTCAGGTTGATATATAATTGATAGAATTGATAACAGTGCTCATGATTTTCTTTTTCTTAAGTAAGAATTAGTTTGATAAGCAGTAGACGCAAGATTTGTTGAACTTCGTACATCAGGATAGGTTCCGGGTCATTCAAGTATAAGTGGTCCATTGAACAGACAAGTGGCGATGTTGCTGTTCTACATTCTCTGTTTAAGTATCAAAAGACGTTTTGTACTTTTTTCTTTATATATGCCTGGAATTTTCCCTTTTTGTACTTCGCTTTACAAACATGATAAGAGATACTTTTACTATGTTACTTTATTACTAAGCTATACGTGTGCTAAGATGTAAATGAGTAAATAGCGTCTTATTTGTTTCATATTATTTGTCTGTTTAATGTTATAACTTGTATATCTGCATATGTTTGCATACTTTTGTTACTTTGTTTCCTTTTGTTGTAAATGCAAAACATTAATAAACTTTCTGTGATTCTATGATTTCTTCATAAGAATGATTAATAATGATGATATTCATTGGTTATCATCTCATCGCTCGTCACATTCAGCAATTATTTATTAGTCTCTTTGGGCAGTGCTTGAAATGTCAGTATGATGTAAGTTCCTAAAAGTGTTGGCGCTATGTAATTAAATTTGTTACAATATACAATCTTATTGCTTGACTTATTGATAATGTTCCAATATATCAGCAGATGTTTTTATCATGCACGGTTGGGATAATTTAAAATCTTGACACCTCATCCAACTTCGACATTTTTTAAAATGATTTCCAGCGATCTGATTCTCTTGCTGCTGTCAACTAAGATAATCATGCTTTTGACAATATTCCAGAAAAAATTAGTGGAACATGTTTATTATGATATTGAATGTAAATTTTAAATTAATATCAATGTTTTATGACCGGTAAAATGTAGAATGCAAGATGGGAAACGATTCTTCGAAATCGGCAACGACACATAGGACTTCAGGAAGGAAAAAATTAAGTTTGGGGGTTAAACGTGGTCCATCTGTCTCGGTCATACAGCGTCACTTGGAAACGGCGCAGAAAAGTCGAGTTTTACAACTAAGAAATTTTGGCATGAAAATATTGCCTGAACAATTGCAAGAAGTAAGCATTTTTTCTTAATTTCTTCATATTTTTGCTTTAATCCAAACTGTCAATTTTATATGATTTTATCAATACTTTTGTGGTATCTAATCAGTCAAGTTATTAGCATTCTTAATATTTGATGATATTATCTCGATGATGACGGATCATTCGAAGTTGTTACTTCCTTTAATCACAATTGTAATAATATATTCACACAAAATCACTAAGAACTTGTAATACGAATATGAAATTTTTATTCCATCTTTATTTGTAATGTTATTTTATTATTGTTACATCGTATGACTGCCAAGGACAGATTTTATTAGCAATAGATTATATATATATTTTTTTAAAGAAAGGAAGAAAATCAGATGAAAAGTGAAAAAAAATTTTTTTCTATTAGAATTTGGTTTTAGGAATATACTTTGTTGATAATTTTCCAGTTAGCTGATTTTTTACACTGAATTCTTTATTCAAGATTAAAATTGTACTCAGGTTTGTGAAATTCTTCGAAATTTGGATGTTTCACAGAACAGAATCCGAACCATCCCAATATTTATTGGTTCATTCAGTAACCTAAAGCAGCTTCATCTTTGCAATAATGAATTGGAAAGTTTACCCAATGAAATAGGTGTTCTGAAGAAGTTGGAAGTTTTGGATCTCTCATGTAATCAACTTGGATGCCTTCCGGAATCGTTGGCTGGTTTATGTTCGCTGAAAATACTGAATATATCAAAAAATAAGTTCACACACTTGCCTATATGTGTATGCCACTTATCGGCACTGAACATTCTTGACATATCGTCCAATTTTATCGAATTTCTTCCCGATGAGGTTAGTTATGTTATTCGAATTGATTTTGGATCAAGCTTTTCAAAAAACTTGAATTTCAGTGCATATTTTTTGATTGATATTTAATGAATATTGATTCAATTATAAATATTATTATAAGTGTTATTTTTCATCTTCCACTTTAATGCACTATCATGTATAACTCAAGGCACTGGAAGATTTTGTTTTGTACATTCTAGAAATAAAATTCTTTAGAGAAGCCATCCATTAAATAATCCGGTAAAAAGCGATAGGAAAACCAAATGTCAAAAAGGATCCGTTGTTTTCTATTTTTCACTACATTGTTTTCTTAATTTCAGGTGAAATTTCTGAAGACTTCGGAACTTAATTTAAATCAGAACAGATTAAATTCATTAAATGCAGCAAACTTGATGCATTGCGAAGCTTTGAGGATACTTCGAGTGGAAGAAAATTGTCTGAATAAAACAGATTTTATAAGTGATTTTCTAATTAATTCCAACGTTAGTTTGATTGCGTACGCGGGAAATCTTTTCCAGGACAAAGATTTTCAAAATTTGCCTGGTTACGAGGAGTATCAAAACAGATACACAGCTACGAAAAGAAAAATGTAATTGGTACACATTTCTGCTTATTCATCGAAGTTTGTTCATTGTTGTTTTTTGCTACATTTATGACTCAGTGATTTAGTGATTTTGATGAATACAGGATGAGATGTTAGACATTATAAATGTAGCATTTCAGGTTTGAAGAATTATTTTTCTGATTTTTGTTGAGGTACTTTCAACACTCATGCCTCAACATTTCATAATGCTTAAAGCAGCTTACATCATTCTATAAATCATAGACGCTCTGCTTTATTAAATTTAGAATGCTTTCTTTAAAAATGAAGTCTCTTTTCTTAAAAAATGCTTAGCCATTCATAACTTTTTAATATATAAATCCATTGTCATTGTTATCGAGTGAAATATTTAGAATCTGGAATTGAAAATAGGATAAAATTTCAAACGAATAAAATAAAAGTTTGGCGTTTTTTTCGGGCAAAGATTATAAACGAAATAGTTATTTGTCAAAATTTGCTTTGAAATATTAAGGAACAGTTTCAGTAACCCTATTTTCATCGCTTTTCGTAGTACTACTATTTTTACTTCAAATTAACACTGATCGCTTTTTTATTTTTCTATTTTGTAAGTCTTATTGATAATTTTATTTAAGCGAACTTTCTGTGTTACGTTAACAAAAAATTCTTTATGTGATAATCTCCAATGTTGCGGTAGTTTACAAAAAATTGGATAAGAATTTTATTGATTTAATATTCTGATGCACAAGATTATATTGTCATATATGAAATCCGATTGGATCAAATAGTAATAATCGGTAGATATCTCCTATCCCAACAAACTTTGTTGTGCTGATTAACAAATGGCCAACATAAAGCAGGATGAAGAGAAGCAAAGAAAATACAGATATTTACCGATATCACCTTATAATTACATTAATGGCAATTATGTCTGCTATTGATCGATATTATAAATGCAAGATTATCATAAGAAGAAATTGGCAAATTAAGAGAAAGGCATTAAAAACACTAACATAACAAATCTTAAAGAATTTAGATGCTTTATTAAGAGAGACTTGAATTACTAGTACAAATTGATTCCTTTCAACTCTTAAGGTCCAATGAGAGCTACAGCGATATCGTCTACATAACATACGAATAAATTGCCACGCAATGTTGTGTATAATAATATCTATTGTAAAAAAAGAAATTTAATGTCTAAGACTCGGAATATGTACGTAACATTCCGAACATGAATATCTCATTAATTGAATAGTTATAATTTTAATCGAAAGACAGAAATAGAGAAATAAGAAATAACTGTTGTGAAAATAGAACATATTCTTGCAAGAATTTTCATGTTCGTAGTAAACTTAAGAATTACGTAAAATATATTTTCCAGCAAGCTTTTTCTCAAATATTTCAATTGTATATTGAAAAAATGCACAGACACGCAAAAAAGAGCGAAACGCAAAAATTCTGATAATATCGGAATTACATAAAATATGTTTTCACTATGAGCTTAGAATTTTGAAGAATATTTCAATCATATTTGCGAAAAGAAAGAAAAACCACGTAACACCAATAAATCTTAGAACTGGAATTTCATATTGACTCAAGGCGCCACTTTCAAACAGTCTGTTGAATTGAAACGCCTTTTTTCTTTTCATTACGATGTTCGGTTGTTTCAGTTCTTGTGCGGGAAGAGGTTTTTGGACGATTTTGTTCTTGGGAGTTAGTATAGTAAATGAAGCTATATTACATTTTGCAAGTCCTTAATGATATAAATTTCAATTGTAGGATGAAGAAACTGGGATCTGTAAATGCGACTAATCCGAAGGAGAATGAACATGTTTGGGTACCAGATGCTATCGAAGGCTTTGTGTTGGGCGTCGTAATTCGGGTAAGTTTTGAGAGAGAACTTTTATTGGACAATTTATTTTTCGTCGTAAAATTTACGGCATTCCATTCTCTTTGTGATTTTCATAAGTGTATAGATGAACTAGCATTGATATTGTCAAATAAACACGATTCATTTTAATAATATTCGACGTTGTTGAATTGATAATTTTTACTCAATTTTGTGATTTTCTTGAGGACATTTCCATAAAAAAGTTTTAATTCAACTATGTATGGATAAACTGAGATGAGGAAGTCATGAAGTGAAGTGGTGCTGCACTTAGTGGGTAACTGAAATAATCATCATATTGCAGAATGTAGCAGATGATCGTGTATTATTGAAGATTGAAGGTACGGGTCACGAAAAAACTATATGCAGAGAAGAGTTACAGTCTGTAAATCCAGCTAAATTAGACAAAATAGAAGATATGTCATCGCTTTCGTACTTAAACGAAGCTTGTGTGCTACACAACCTTCGGCAACGATATTATTCGTCGCTTATATATGTAAGTTTTCAGCTTTTGGCACGTTTTGTAACAATTTGCACAGATAGTAGAAAATGTTAATAGAATTAGTTAGAAATTGACTGAAAGGTTAAAGTGTTGACGTATCGATTGATAAGATTGAGGGATTAAAAGTTTCAGTATAACGCATATTAGTTACATAGTTTCCGTCTGCAGACGTATTCCGGCTTATTTTGTGTCGTCATAAATCCGTACAAGTGGATGCCTCATATCTATTCAACAACAGTGATGAAAAGTTATCGTGGACGAAAGCGGCATGAAGTACCTCCTCATATATTTGCTGTGGCTGACTGTGCTTATCACGAAATGTTGTATCGTTCGTTTTTATGAATTTGTATGGTAATAAAAGTTTCAGAGATCAGGATTATGTATTTAAAAATTTAACACTAAGAAGATGAATAAGAATTCCCTGGAATTTCAGAGCGAGAAGATCAATCCATCCTTTGTACTGGAGAATCAGGTGCTGGAAAAACAGAGAATACAAAGAAAGTAGTCCAGTATTTAGCGGATATTGCGGGTGCTGGGCGACACATGCGTTCATCAGTTGCCAGAAGTCCCGGAAAGGTGTTATTTCTTGCAAATTTTATACTTTATTGATAATTGACTTTTGCTTATACTTAAGACAATTCCTTAAATTGAGCGCTTGTGTAAAAAATCTGAGAAGATTTTCGCGAAGTAGCACTTACCCACAGATTTTGATGTGGATTTTGATTTGAACAATGATATTTCAAGACTTTAATAATGCTAAAACTAAAAATTGTTTCTACTTGAAATTAATTGTCCATATTTTATTTTTTTTTTCATCAGAGTCTACTGCCTACATCGCTGCCAATGTCACCTATTTCGGAAAGCATGTCATCTGTTGTAAGTTTTTTTTTCAATACTCTTATCTTTAAATGGAGCAAATATTCATTTGTTAGAACAAGCTAATTGACAATTCAAAAAATGACAGTCCAAGAATTTTGCTGATAAAGTCTTATTTGATTGAAAATTTGATATAGGGTCAACTGGAAAATCAATTGTTATTAGCAAACCCGATCCTCGAAGCTTTTGGTAATAGTAAAACAATTAAGAATGACAATTCTTCGAGATTTGTAAGTTTTTCTTTTCATTGTCGATTTTAGTTAATTTCTGATAACTAGGTAGTCATTTCCTTTTAAAAAAAAGGCTCTATTCAATAATTTTCATTTTCTGCCCATTGTTTTTTGTGTATTCTGCTACCGTTTCCTTTTCTCCACCTTGCAGTCTTTGTATAACTAAAAAAATGATGACAAATCGTTGTTTATTGTAGATTTACAGCTGGAAAATTTTGTATTCAGATTTTTTCATATGCAGAGAAATTCAATTTTAGGAATAAAATATTAGGTAGTTTTGGAATTATCGTTCGCTTCTTTACTGGAAAGCATAAGTTTGCTACTTGGAACTTAGTGAAAATTTATTGTAGGGTAAGTTTATCAGGATAAATTTTGATCAGAGTGGCTGCATATCGGGTGCAAATATCGAACATTATTTATTGGAAAAATCGCGCACTGTTCGACAGGCAGAAAATGAGCGATCATTCCACTTTTTTTATCAGTTATTGCTTGGTTCATCTATTAGCAAGAAAGGTACTGTATTTTTCGATTATTGGAACATGAGTGCCTAATTTGAATATCTATATGCTGAGAAAAGGAACAACTTTTTAAAATATTTTGTTAAAAAACTCATTACTTACTACACCTAAAGTGGAATTTGCGGATTAGTACGGTAGTATGAAGATAATTGATCATGAAATGAAATACTACTATTATTGCGAAATAAAATGTTCGTCTCACAGGTACATTTTTAATGGATGATATCGACAACTATCGTTTCCTTACGAATGGGAATCTCATCATTCCGAATGTTGACGACGCTTCCGACTTGTCAAATACTTTGAATGCAATGAAAGGGATGGATTTTTCGGACACAGATATTGATGGTATTTGACAGTATGATGAGATTAACTCAATTTGAAATGAAACTTAGGACAAATATCTATTTTTCAGCATTTAATAAAAACCTTTATTGTTCTGTATTACTATTCACCTTCATGATACATTTCATTGTACTGTAAACTACTTCTTAAGACTTTGAAATCTTTTCTTCCTCGGTGCATAGGATATTTGGCATGAAATTTGACTTATAAATTCCAAAGTGATGCTTGTTTTGTGAAATACAAAATAAGAATAATGTTTATTTCAGCAGTCATGCGAATAACATGTGCGATTTTACTATTGGGAAATTTATCCTTTTCCGAAGATCGTACTTCTGATCAAGCAATACTTGTTGATGATAGAGGTTTTATTTCTTTATTTTCGGTCCACTTAGTATTTTGATAGCATTTATATAGTCGGTGTCCAGTATTTTAAAATTTTGGTACGGAGTGTATCACAAGTTTGGTAGTTAAATTATTCTTAATCTTTTTCAATTAATTTTATTTTAATAAACAAATTGCTAGTTTCAGTTGCTCAAAAAATATGTTGCTTACTTGGATTGCCAGTTTCGGACTTAGCGAAAGCATTTTTGAAACCGCGAGTAAAGGTCAGTGCGATTTTTGATAAAAGTCAATGCATTTGTCATCATATTCATATATTTGCATTATACGGCTCAATAAAATTATGATTTTGGTATCTCAATTTCAGGTTGGTCGTGATTATGTGCATAAAGCTCAAACTCGTGAGCAGGTTCAGTATGCGGTTGAAGCCATTGCAAAAGCAAGCTATGAACGAATGTTCCGGTGGCTGGTGACACGAATTAATCGTTCCCTGGGGCGTTCAGCAAATAGTGGAGCAACTTTCATTGGAATAC